TTCTAGTTGCAGAGGTTCTTCTCTGATTTCGGTTAGAGGTTCTCTGGGCGTAATGGAGACTGGCTCGGTGAAACGAAGTTGTGATCTGGAGCAGTTCAGCCTTTGAGAAACGCTTTTCTCGGTGATCGCTTCTCCCAGATTTTCATCCATAAAATCGTCTCGCCTGTCTGCATTGAGCTCGTCTTCCATTTCTTCCCTCAGGTCCGCCTCCAGTCGGGCGGCTTCAGCTTCATCTCTGGCTTTCTGAAGGTCTCTCTCGAATTGCAGTTCTTCCTCTTGCTTCCTTAGTGTCCTTTCTCGCTCCAGCTGGCGCACGCGCAATTCCTTCAGTTTGGATGATATCCTGGCTTCAGCTGATGCATGAGAGGCCGCCGAGCTGCCACTGACCTGTGACCTTGCTCGGCGAGCGACGCTACGGGTCATACGTGACACTGAGCGTCCCATGCCGTCTTCAGGTTGCCCTCCTCCATCCTCACTGAAGTCAGTCTGTCTCGTAGAGGTCAGCTGTAGTTCGTCTGTGGTGCTTGTCATGAAAGTCTCGATTTTCTCCTCGATTCTCTCTTTCTCCGTACGAACTTCGTTTAAGTACTGAACCTCATTTTCTTTTTCTTCCTCACTCTGCGTGTATCCAGAGATACATTCGTGAACGGCCATCAACGCTTGGAAAGCGCTGTCCATTTCTCTGCGGATATTTCCAAACTGGACGCGTGAGGCTCTATCTGTCACGAGAGCTTCAGCGCGCCGGAAAATCCTTGTGAGAGCCGCCCGATGACGACCTCTCACCTGTCTGAGGTGCCGCCACTCCCCGTTGGAGCATTGGCCTTCTCGTGGTTCTTCTCGGGCTGTAGTCACTGCAGCTTGTCCTTGACCTGCAGCGGCTGGTTCAGCTGGTACTTCTTCCATGTCAGCGGTTTCTTCTTTGTCACTTTCACCCATTCGCTCTAGAGACGGGCTTGCTTCACCACTTGCCATAGTTCAGGATCCGGCCCGGAGGACCAGCAAATGTCGCCGACAAACTGTCGTTCGGAGTTCTTTTCTGGTTGGATGTGGACTGTATTTTATTCGGTGAGTTTGTGCGACATTCGTAGCCCGCCCGCCTGCTATGTGAGCTCCTGGGTTTTTGATATTCGGCGATTTTCAGTAGTAGATAGACGTGAAGATTTCCCGTAGAGGATTTATTGAAGTATACGCGAAGCAAGAAGCGGAAGCAGTTGTGAAGAAAACCGGTAGATGAAACACGCAGACACGGAGCACAATTCACTTTCGCTGTACAATCTGAAGCACTGACACTGCCCCGCCGGGCGCGGCTGCGCGCAGGAGAGTCGGTCTGCGCGCGTGCTTCTGTACTCTGTCCCCGCTCAGCCGGGCGAGGCGTCGAGCGGGGCAGATCAGTCCGTGCGCACAGCGCGACGGTCGAAGTGAGACTCTGCCGGGGTCGTACGTGACCCACATTTTATACGCAATGCTTAAGACGTGTGCAAAACGAGTGCGAACTTGCACTGCAGCGGAGGTGGCTGAAGGCGCCAGCTTGGCGGCCTACGTGCCTTAAAACGACATGTCTTTAATTTATATCTCTGTCTCGGTGGCGGCCGCGGCGCTGCTGCGGCTCGGCAGCGTCGGCGGCACGCGTACCGACCGCCGGCCGCGTCTGCTCGCGGCCCCGCCCTGCACAATGCCTCACAACTCATCCTGAGTCTGGACGGGGTGACGGCGGTGCGGCGGCGGGACGGCTGCAGCGAGCGGCGGCGGCGCCGCGGTGGCACGGCGGCCGGCCGGCTATCACGGCGGCACAGCGGTAGCGCGGGTTGGTCCGAGCACTTTCGTCGGTGACAGTCATTCTTTGATAAAAAACGGGACACCGTTTACAAAGACACTGCCTAGAAATGGCACAAGTGCGTGTAACAATAAACATACATATAACAGACCGATACACCGCAATCGCAGTCGCTCCAATAGAGAAAGGTGTGCTAGAAATTTGAACGTCTGCCTTGCTTTCGCCCACAGATAATGCTTTACACATTTCCATGGTGTTTAACAATGGTAGGAAGCCAAAGCCCCAAATGGATGCACAATTGCAGTGCCAGATTTATAATGACGACCGGCTGAGGCCAAGTGCCGGGGCACTATGTAGGACAACGACCCCTGTTACATGATATACATGCAAACCTTATAAGGAAAGAAGCGTTGAGGAAAACCATGCTTAAATTGTTCAAATTCCGAGAGTGGCCGTAATTTTCCGATTGGATGGCAGTCGCTATGATAGCGCGCGGAATAATCCCGCTTAGTGTCAGTTCACAGAATGAAACCGTCCATTCAAAATCAGTTCAAACCCTTCAACGCTGTTCAAAGTTGTGAGTAGGGAAGCAATCTTAATGATGACGATGCCGTTTCTATGTCTCTGTTTGTTCAAACCTGACCTAAGGCCAGTAGCGGCGGAACACCTTCAATTAAGGGGGGCAATGTCGACTTTTGGTCCCATTCTTTCCATGCAACGCCCATAGGGCTAATGTTAAAATGTCAAAATCAAAGGGGGCACGGTGCTCCGGTGCCCTCCCCGTTCCGCCGCCTATGCCTATGGCTCCCAAACTACTGGACTGGGCTATATCCTCCAGACAGGCCCAACATATCCACCATTCTCCTCCGCTGGAGTCAACAACAGAGACCCAACAGCACCTCGGTGAATGAACGATAACTGAGCGCCGGCAGAGGAGCGATAACAAAACCGCAGAAACCGACTCACTGGTGCAGAATGTGAGGACAACACAGCCGAACCTTGCCGACTATCGTTTTGTGTTCCGGCCCGGCTTTGCAGCGCGCAGGCTTATCGAATTTCAGTCTAGTGAGTTTCTAGTCTCACAAATCACAAATATCACACCTCACAGAAAGCTCGTAGGATTCATAGCCAAGCGAGTTCCTCAGCCCCCGGCCGCGCGTTGGGAGTAACTAGCCCTTCATCGGGAGCCTCAGAGCCGATTGGACCGCGCTGTGGTTGCCCCCCCCCCCCCCCCCCCCGTCTCTCCCGTCCCCTCTCCAGCAGTGCTGCAGTTGCCGATAGCGGTGGAAGCCGCTCAGAATGCACGGTATTTTATTCTGCAGCAGCTGGGAATTTATTCCACGCAGCGGCTGCCGGCTAGGAGTCGCTCAGTGAGGCCCAGTCCTGAGGCATGCCGTGGTCGGTGGTATCGAGACAATCTTTGTCTCAATGCAGTGGCCATGGTGTGAGACATAGGAGAAGCGACACAGAAAAAGAAATGTCTCTAATGCGCATTGTAGTCACATGCATACATCGTGTATCGTCACTTATTGATGTCTTAAGACAAATGTACCGTAATTGGCACACCGGCGTCATTTTATCATTACGTGGTTGTTTTTGCCGTCAGGGCTGATATAAATCAGGCCCAACATTGTCACCGGATTAGCCAGGAAGACGTCCGTAATAGCAGTGATGACGTGTTGTGAATTATCAACAAAGCAGTGCGGCCTTGTAATAATTACGGCGACAAGGAAACGCGGCTTTTATCTAGCCACAGCATAAGTGCGTTGTTAGACAATGAACCGGTTATGTTCTGAAAATGTCTTAGTGGAGTCCCGGAAAGTTGCCATAACAATGGGAGCCAGAGCGTTACATAAGCCTCCTTCCCTCACATACCAATCAAGACTCAAGTCCAGGTAGTGGGTTAACGTAGATCATGCTAAAACATTCCGTACATCCCGGTCCGTCCCGTGCGCCCGATCTCGTCACATTAACCGCACTCCTTTTTGTCCCATCCCACGCCGTATTGTGACGCACACTTTCGCTCCTGTGCCAATTCCTCTCGGTCGACATCTCTCCTCATGGGAGATCCCAGCTGTGACATCCGCCCGACCCCGAACCGATCACAACACCTGCTCCACGAGCACATCGCAGCCGCAGGTCGTTCGCTGGAGCCACAGGACGGCTTCACTAGCCGCAGTCGGGAGCCAAAGCCATCACCAACAAGACATAGCCGCAGTCAGAGTACCAAGGCACAGCCACGGTTTGACATAGTAGACAGCAAGAGACAACAGAACCAAGCGAAAGGTACAGCTACAACAAAACTACAGACACCAAAGAGAACTGAGGCGTTTACAAGCCTTCAAACACAGATACGGAAGCAGATACAGTAGCTTCAGAGACACTTCATTCAGTCAAAATTATAGTCCTACTCACATCCAGGTATATAACCAAGCATCACTGTCACAACTACGACTACATCCACAGCTAAGGCCACAGTCACAGCTTAAGCCACAGTCACAGCTAGCCACAGTTACAGCTAGACGCTCCCGGCAGGCCAATGGAACAAATATCCAGCCCGAATCCCCGGGGGTGAATTCGAAGCTAACCATACGCCACTGCAGCGCCGCGTCGGCCGCTGTCGCATCGATCCACCGTGAACAGCTCGAATAGACCGGAACACGGCGAGCCAGATGTGGCCGCAATGATACACCAGAGGGCAACACGACCCAAAGAGTTGTTGAGTTTGACGACCACATTGCCGTCAAATGACGTCCCAAAGCCGCAGCACGACCGCCGCTGCCGTAGCGACACGGCAGATTACCAAAGTTTGACGGCGAAACTCGGTCGTTAATATTCAGATAGCGTTCGGGCATTACTGGAATGTCGCTGAGATTCACTGAACACGGGATGAGTTGACCTTCAAACAGTCGGCAACACAAATCACCAGGGGCTCGGATAAATTCAATGAGCTGATGCTCGGGTATGAATTTTATGCAAGCGACCACCAGTGCCGTCATGCCCCATTCCTATAGCATCACGCACTTCAATACACAAATACGTCACTATATATCCCAGTGCACTCTGTGATGCGATTTTGAGGACACCCAGACTTCAGAGGTTATCGACGCTTCCGGCACGCTACCTCTCGCAATATTCCTTCTCTCCCTATACTCCAGCACTCCACCCGCTCTCCCCTTACTCCGACACTCTACCCACTCTCCCATACCCATTCCTCTCCCCTCACCATCCATAAGAAGCCAGTGACCGGTCAGTATCCAGACACAGACGATGGTGACGGACACGCCGAGGGAGACGATCTCAGCGCTCGTGTACCGGCCGCACAGTCCAAATGAGATCCTGAGGGAGCCACGGGATACCCGGTCAGACAGGGCCGGAGGTCACAGGGGTCAGACAGTGCCGGAGGTCACAGGGGTCAGACAATGTCGAGCAATTTACAAAAGGTCAAATGCTAACAGCATGCAACAGAATGCCAGAGGAGGGTCACAAGGGCTCAACACAGGTGGAGATTCACAGGGGATCAATGTCGTAAAAGTGACAGGGTTCAAATACCGACAGAGTAGAAATAAGGAGACAGACTGGCGAGGGATTAGCCACAAGCGGAAGGTCAGAATCTCATAGAACAGCCTATGCCGAAATATCTAGTCAGAGGTCAACCAATGAGCGGGGTTAAATGGGTTCGACACTAGCGACAGAAGGTACAAGTGTTCAGGATGTTCGCCAAATGGACAACAGGGATGACATGCGGTCACTACAAAGAAGGAAATAACAAGTGAGTCCAGGTGAATGACAATAGCGGAGCTGGGTTGACTGGCTGAAATCACCAACAAATGTCAGATCTTGTAAATGTGAACGCACAAACAAATGTACCTATTGGAAAATCTAGTAACACATTTCCACTGTATAGTTAATAGCTATTCATCGTTCCAACGGTTGGGGACTTTCAGTCAAACTACGTCGCGCGTCTGGTAAAATCAGGTCAAGTGAATTTTAGATCTAAAGAAATCGATAATTGAAAGTTTAACACATAAGAGTTTATCTTAAAATATTCAATCAAAATCAAAAGTATGAATAATGATGGGAGGTCCAAGCACCATGCCCACAATAAGCAAGGGAAATCAGACCACCCCACACCCCACCTTGCCCTCCTCACACACCCCGTCTACCCCACGCCATCACCAGGTCCGTCGAGGCGGCGCCAGGTCACGTCAGCTGTTCGTACGTACCGGTGACCGTCAGGTCAGGTCGGGCCAGGTCAGGTCATTCCCGACACCTACCGGTTCCGTCCGTCGGCCGGGGTGTCATACGAGTTACTGGGGTCAGTCAGTCGGACAGCCTGAAACAGTCTCAATGCGTCACAGGTCACGGGTCACATGTCACAGGTCACAGAGTAACGTCATGAGGTCAAGTGTCATCTAGCCATTACTAATAACAGGTGGCTGATCGCACTGTGACATGAGCCGGGCGAGACAACTGAATGTCAAAGGAAAGCGGATTAACTCCAAGAGTAGTTACGCAACTTGATCACGGCGACAAACACACGACACTAAGCCAGCAGCACTCAGCTTGCATCCTTTCACCGCAGACTTGAATTATCATTATTTCGACATCAAAAGACCCTCAATTCTGGATACCTTTACATCAAGAGCGTTTGTGCAAATGCGAGTTTCATGGAATGTTCTTTGATTTTGGAGTAGGTAGGTGTATTTCGCTGGAACTGTCTCTCGTTATCAGAGCAGATTTCTACGGTCATCCCTCCTGACCTCCCTACCCCGACTGCACCCACGCAGCGAGCAGTGGTGGTTACCTCAGACCACCATGAACCTTCCCATAGATCGGAGCTGCCACGACACCGGTCTACCGGCATGAAACGACCGCCGAGAAATAATGAAATAAAGCGCACCGGCTAGCGTTGAGCCCGCCCGACGGACACCTGTAGGCCGTGGTGGGCGACACGGGCATAATGAAGTCGCCGAGGACGTTAGTGAAGTGGCCATCCTTCGTGGAAATAAGCTGTGGACGTGGAGTCATGGGGTGAATCGATGAATCAATAGAACGTGACTTAGTCGGTTAGCGAGAGAATAGGTATATCGGTGGAATGCCTGTGCGACCGGTATCGAATCATGTTGTTTCGCGAAGTCGCCATCACGTTCCTTGCAGATGCACCTGTCCATTATCCAGAAAGAGACTCATCAAGGGTCATCGCCCAGATTACCCGTGCATGGCAAGAAGATACAACCGATGCGCAACTCAAATTTCCCAGCTGCAAACATCGTGAGTCATGGCTTGCAAAAGAAGTCCATCTCCTAAGCCGAAGCACCAACGAAAAATTCATCTGCGATCAGCAGCCGCCCAGCCGCGCTGGTCCACGTTATTGGGATCTCGTACAGAACTCCATGGCTTGGGCTCGCTCCGTCTCGGGCCAACAAGTCCAGCGCGTGCAGTATGCAGCGTGCAGCACGGCTGCATGAATTATGAGGCGAGTTGCAGTCAGGCCCCGGTCCACACTGGCTTTAGGTCCTGTCTACAAAAAGAGCTCGAATGGCATGGTGAGGCTGGGCGGGGTTGCGCCAGCTTCAATTCTACAGTCGTGAGGCTCGCGAGCACAGGCTGCATTCACCCAATGAGCGGAAACGTCTGTAGCCAGAGTCGGGACAATGAGTCGACACAAAACTCCTTGTGTAAGTCAACCAGCCATGAGTTGGCACAAGACCCATTGTGTGAATTGAAGGCGATGACGTGCACATTTGGAATGTCTCAGACATCCGCTAAATGGCCACAAAACGATCCATCAAAAACCAACGAGAAAAAGCAAACAGCATCACTTAGCACCCTAAAAGAAAACACCACAAAAACAGCACTGCCATCATCCAAAAACTTCACGAAGCAGCATACCACCCTTCTTCTGTAGAATGCCCGCGTTAGTTCCGTCTTTGTCTGTCAGAGGGCAGCAGCAGTCCATCAGAAGCCCCCAGTCCCCACCCCCACCCCGTCCAGCCATGCCGGCGCGTCGGCCGGAGCTGCCGCAGCCTCCCCGGGAGCTCCGTTCAGTCGGTACACGGCTGGGACTCTTCAAGGTCACGCCTCGGACACTCAGCTGACCGACCGCAGTCAGCTGATGCCTGAGACCGTCTGCAAGGCCAGGCCTGACTCTGAGAACACTGGCAATTTGCACGAGGCAGACTGGGGCGTGCGGCAGTGGACTGAGTCAGACTGCCTGCGGTAGAGACAGACTGCTGCGTTAAACTGGCGGATATACAGACTGGGCTGCGTCAGACTGTGGTTACATCAGAATATTCATTACGTAATTTAGTCTCTCGTCTAAAAAAGCATCCGTGTCACCACCCAGAGTTCAGGTCAAGTCCAAAGTCAAGTCAAACACAATCCTAGCTGTCTTCCTACAACCCTCCCGTCCCCGTGCGAGACGCACCATTCGGCTTCGGCGGCAGGCCAATTGCACCTCATCAGCACAGTCGAGCCGTCTCATCACAACACCACACCCGGGCGCTCCCAGCGTAAACATACCGCTCTGTCGCCCCCCCCCCCCGCCGGGGGCGGGGCACGGGGGCGGCGCACTCACTTTGAGCCATCCGAGCAGGAGGCGATCATATACTGGCACATGGGCAGTAGCAGGAACGCCAGGGCCACCGTGGCAATCACTGCAAACAGAGGGGAGCGAGGTGTCAGAACGGGGGGTCGCTGACCGTTGGGGGGGGGAGCTGCAGTGAGGGCGGGAGGGCGTGGGACAGCGGCTACGGTAGGTGCTGCGCACAGGGGAGGGGCAAGGACAAACGTGATGACGCCCGGTTTGAGTCTAACAGCATTAAATGGACACATGAGCCCAATGCGGTCGAATATTGGGTCAAAGTCAACCGATGCGTCGCTCGACCTGGATATGGATTTCATACCAAACCCACCATAAGCGACTGAACACAAACCCAATACAATCGAACATGGATTTCAGCTAGCTGAAGCACGAACCCAGCACATCGACCAAATGGCCAAACATACGATATCCCAATACCACACATTCGTGCAGCCGGCTGCCCAGCAGGGCTGCTGCCTGCACGTTCGACAGCCATTCCAAATAATGAACGAGCCATTGTGTCCTCATGTACTGGCGGGGGCCGGTCCCGTCATAATCCAGGACGGGCGTGGCACGTGGTAGTGGGACGAACGGCGGACAAAACAGGGGGAGGGGTGGGAACAGAACACCACTCATCCGTGATGGGGACTGGGGAGTCACCGGTGTGTCCCACACACTTCCACGAGCCGATCGGGTGTCACGACCAAAAACGGTAAGCCCCGGGTGAGCTACTCGTTGTTAAACTGACACACCTATGACACATGGTGATGCCAGGTGTCATCCTGTCAATGACACCACGTCAGGAGGAAGGGGGGGGATTGACCTCATAGTACGGGCATGTGCCTCCAACGGGCTCGACACAGTCCAGGCCCAAGTCTCCAACGATAGCGGGCCACTGAACACGGCTCTAATTTCATAACATGTCACTGCATGGGGCACCGTTAGCTGTTTCGACGAATGGCACAGGATAGGCAAACAAAACAAACAAATTGTCCAGTTAGGTTAGCGCCACACGTCTAATGAAAATAGAGCGAGTCATGCAATAGTTACCGCGGGCGTTGCTTAGGGCTGGTTGCTAGGCTGCTTGGAACAATGTGATACAACACAAGTATAGGATGATTGAACAACACAGTCCCAGCCCAGACACAACACACGTTCAGACAAAACAGAACAGCTCCTCCCGAGTGGCAACACAGACACAAGACACCACACTCACAACTGACAGACAGCGTGCGCACGTGGTTCAGAGCTCCAGACGTCCAGTCAAGAGACAACACAGCCGCGGCGGCAGTCTCGATCACCCGACTCCCCCCGTTCAGCTTAGGGTCACCGGTCTTCGCCTGGGAGAAGGTCCTGTCCCGTCCTGTCGTCTAAGGTCCTCCTCTCCCGTCCCTTCCTCACTGAGAAAAAAATTGACTCCATATGGGTCAAAACTCTTGAAAATGCTCCCCTGAAAACTCCTTAAAACCATTGATAACTCCCTTTCCAGCAGAGTTATTGAGTGTGTCCTAGGGTAACTTCGAGCCTTCCTCATTTTGCGAAAGAGTTTTCAAGAGTTCTTAATGGATGGCGAAATGACTCCATGTGTGACACCCCATAACTCTGTGACGCAACTCTCCATTACTTCCGAAAAACCTTTCCCGAACGTTCCGACAGGAGTAAAAGGGGAGTTACGAAGGGGTTTTAGCATACGTCGCGAGGAGCTGCCGGTGGCCGCCATCTTTTGCGCGTAGTACACAGCACGTTGTGCGGGGCGGCGGGCGAGGTGTTAGTGAAGAGCGTGTTGACTTAGACGGACCTGACCTATATACAGTGACGGATAATTGGACCTTACTTTGGATTTAAAGGTAAGCTTAGCTGTATTTCTCATCATGCTTTTATAGTGCAAAGTGTTATAATGCTGTAATGAGAACATATGGTAACCCCATGTTCTTGATGGGCTGGAATGGTCTCTGTAAGGGTAATTGATTTGTATTGTTCCTGAGTGAGATAAAGATCGGAAACAGCATGCTCTGAGTTTCTAGGTATTGGCAAATATCACACATTATTTCCCTCGAATAAATTGGAAAGTTAGGATTACACAAGCTTTACACGTCATGGATCCTATTGTTATTGCCCAATTATTTCAATATCTATACCAATGACAAATATCAAATTTGAAGGGTTTGCAAAGGAGAGCCAGAAAATAAAACTATCTTGGCATAAAAGCCTTGATTTTCCTAGCCCCTACATATACCTATATATAGAAAAAAAATCAGTTACCTACCACTGCCACTGCCCATGAATGATGAAAACCACCGACAAACCAGCATGTTTAAATAAAAAATTTTTCTAAATTGTTGTATGTTTTTAGAAAGTGTTCATAATTGAATTCGTTCTTTAATGTTAACATGGTTACCTATGCAGCGTATAACGTCCTTAGCTTTTTTAGCGACCTGCTCAACTTTTTGAGCGTTCAAGTAGGTACGTTTTATAGCATTGCCCTACTGTGTCTGCAACTAAGATGGAGGCTGTTAACTTGCCCTTTAGACTTTCACTGAAACTTAACTTTATCAAAATTGTAGTGCATAAAAAGTATGCTAACTTTGCAATCTCTTGCTTTCATTATTTTGACATCATGTGCCGAAATGCAGTATCAGTGCCAACACGTCAGGTCGCGTATGTCTCGTCTCGTCCATCTTGTCTCATCTGCCTACCTCTCAGTGTCCTCCCTCATTTCTTCCTTCCATCTTTCCTCGCTTCCTTTCTCACTCCCTCTTTCCCTCCCCTCTCTCTCCCTTTCTTTCTCCCTCTATCCCTCCCTTCCTTCCTGTTTCCTTCCTTCCTTCCTTCATCCCTCCTCTCCTTCCCTCCCTTTCTCCTTCATTATTTCCCCTTCTTCTCTTTTTTCTTTCCCCTCCATTTCCTCCCACGCAATGTTAAGGGTACCTATAATTTCATGGTTATTAACATTTTGCAGGGGATGAGCTGGAGAGCCTGCAGCGCATCCCGCAAGACACGTCGGAAGCCAACGGAGGCCAGCAAAATATCCATCCCACCATCGTGAAAGGAGAGCCGGACGAAGAAGACGCAGTATTCGTCGAGGCCCAGGAGGTGGTAGGGTAGCGGCACCACCACACCAAGCATTCCTGCTGTGGTAGGCCGCCTTTTGGATTCTTAACATCAAAACTCGCGACCGTGAAGCATATGGAGTGAGATCCCCGGAAAGCGTGCCGTGGCGGGATGTCGAAAGCGTATGTTAATTTTTTTTTTTAAGCCTCCCACCGCCCCGGACTATGAATACACATTTCTTGAAATATATTTTTTATCTGTGCTTCGGTACACGAGCTTTGGGTGGTTACGCTATTCGTCCAATATTTATTTTCGGGGGGGGGGAGGGGCTGGAGTGGAGTGATGGGAAGTTTGGGTGAGTTTGATGGGGAGTAACAAGAGGTATACCATGAAGCTGTAAACGGAGTTTTGGGGAATCATGGAATGGAGTAATCGGGAGTAATTATGAGGCAGTAGGAGAGTCATTGAGAGTAATGGAAGAGAGTTTCAGGGAGTATGTTGTTTGTTTTGATAGGGTAAAGGAGAGTAATGAAGAGTTTTCTAAAACGGTAGGGAGAGTTACAGAGAGTTTCTCGAGGGAAGTTTTGGGGTGTAATGGAGAGTTTTAGAGGGGGTGTAATGAGGAGTACCACCTGGGAGTTTTGGGGTGTCGTTTTGGTGAACTCCCCCTGGGGGTGTCATGCGGAGTCAGGATTTTTCTCAGTGCTATCCCATGCTGTCCCATCCCATCCCGCTTCATCCCTTCCCTTGCTGCTGCGCCCTGTTCCATCCGTAGGTTGGTTAGTTGGCTGAACAGATCGATCGATAGCGTCCCCGAACTCTACCACCTCCGAGAGAGAGAGAGAGAGAGAGAGAGAGAGGAGAGAGGAGAGCGAGAGCGAGAGAAAGAGAGAGAGAGAGCGAGCGAGAGCGAGAGCGAGAGCGAGAGAGAGAGAGAGGAGAGAGGAGAGCGAGAGCGAGAGAGAGAGAGAGAGAGAGAGAGAGAGAGAGAGAGAGAGAGAGAGAGAGAGAGAGAGAGAGAGAGAGAGAGAGAGAGAGAGAGAGAGAGAGAGAGAGAGAGAGAGAGAGCGAGAGCGAGAGCGAGAGCGAGAGCGAGAGCGAGAGCGAGAGAGAGAGAGAGAGAGAGAGAGTAGCGAGAGCAGCAGCGCTGCAGCCCCGGCGACAGACGCCGGCCCCACCCCACTCAGTAATGGCCAACCGGAGCTCATCAGCCGCGGCCTACACGGTATAGGCCAGACGCGCGGGCCGGGCCGCAGGGAGAGACGCAGGGCGCCCACGGGACACACCTCTGCCGATCGATTGGAGAGGAAGAGCGGCCGACTGGCACCCTGGCCGCCTGACCTGGACATCACCGGTACTGTTGGGAATGGGAAGGTTGGGACAGTGGGACAGCCACAGCGTGGCGGGGAATGAGGCGGTTGGGACAGCCATTAGACGGTGGCGAATGGATGCGTCTGGTCTGCCGCAGGGCAGCCAGCCTGCATTCATCCGGCCTCGGTCGGATAAACACAAAGTGAGTGGCATGGCTCATGATGTCATATCTCCTCTCCACTTGACGGTGAGAGCGCAGGGCCGAGGGCAGGGATACTCATCGGTCAGCTACGGTATTTGATCAGTGACCATTGACCACACCACCTCTGATCATCGGTCAGACGTATCGCCGTCCTCTCAGCATATAGCATCTCACTGCAATCTAGCTAAGATACTATACGATAGCACCTAGCTTGGACCCAAGCTCTCAGCACCATAAGTCTCGCCGCGGTGCGCCGCCGCGGTCACTGATATTGACCGCGCCCCGTGGCGAACCGGTCTGGCTATACCACCCCAATGGCTGTGTGAGATGAGAGCTGAAACCGGACCAGAGTCGGGCAATATCGGCTGAAGCGGACACTCCGACCGGCCGCCGGCGACTCCAACAGATGAGAGAGGCTTCAGCACAGTGCCAAAGCCGCTGAGAGGCGGGATATTAGAAAATGGGACAGCGAGACTGAACATGAGTAAAAATAGAAGGTGAGATGGGTGAGGCGAGTATGAAGCGAATAAAGGATTCTGGTAAACGGGACCTAGATAAGGCAGAAATTAGGCAAACACGATATAAGTGGGCCGGGGACAGGTAACCGGTTTGTGCCCCAAAGTCCCTCTCTCACTCATCCAGGGCGGGGGTGTCAGAGCTCCCCAGCCGCCCTGTCACAGTGTGTCGCACCAGGCATCAGGACCGTCATTCAGTGTCATTGGCGACGCGGCGGCACCAGCTCGGAGCCAGTCACAAATGGAGGTAATCGCCAGCCCCGGGCGAGCGTCGGCCGAGCGAGAACCGAAACAGGGCGAGGCTGATCTCGAAACTCTGAGCTCTCCTACCGCTGCGGGTAGCAACCACCGAGCTGGTTCCATCGCAGGAAACATAACCGCCAACCAAAGGTCATATGCCACTCGGTAATGAAGATGAACGGAAACGGCATCCCCAGGATTTATCTGAGATTGGCTATTGTTTGTCGGTCTGGGCATCAGTCTTACCCGCGCGGGTCAGCTAATTCGGACAAACAGCATCCACTGTCCGCTATGAGAGTCTCTACTCGGATTCCGGTCCACGCACTAGTCACACGGAACCGCAGCATGGATAACAACTGTAAACCATTCAAATTCGCGGTTTGCCGTACTGAGGGCAGTGTCCCATCGCGGTAGGTCGGAACTCGGAGGTCGAGCTGTGTTCGACCGAGCACGTGCCGCTCCGACTTCACCGCCACGGACCACACCACGCCACGGACCACGGACCACGACGCCACGGACCACGGACCACGACGCCACGGACCACGACACCACGGACCACGACGCCACGGACCACGGACCACGCCCGCAGCCAAGGCCATCACGGTGGGGGCGTCCGGTGGCGGCGGCACCGCCGTCACGCCTCAGCGCTAACCACACCGAGGGGCGGCAGTCGGCCGGTCGGACGAGAGAGGACGCACCTGGACAGACCACCTGGATCCCAACTGATCACGGCACACACAGCTGGCCAGGTAGATTGGTGTACGGGTTAAAGGAAAGGAGGGGGAGAGGATGGATGGGTGGATGAGGGGGGGGGCGGTAACTGTCGTATGTTTTACTTTTTTGCATGATCGCGGTACACAAAGCAGGCCAGGCAGATTGGTGTATGAGGGAACGCGTGGAGTGGTGGATGTGGGGAGAGGTTAACGGCACGTGACGCAACGGTTTGACCGCACGCGTCACTGTGACCGCCGTGACGGGCGGCGTTACAGGCGCGTCACTCAACCCAGCTCGATCTGTCAGTCAGCTTGACGGTGTTCAGAGATGAAAGACTTCGGCGCGTGGGGGCGTGAGAATGTGATCGTCTGATGCTAGAGATGTAACGTCAGTTATTTCTCACAAAAGCCACAAATTGGAATTCCGGCCGCAATCAGAGACCTTCTTCCAGCAAAACTTTGCGACAGAAGTGTAGATTGTGTGACGAAATGTTAAATTTATCACAGACTAGGCCAACCAGCCAATCAAGTTCCATACGCGCGCATTATCGCGCTTTCATCATTACATAACGGCTCATCCGCACTCGGCGCGCCAGCCCAGTGACCTATCTCGTGCGACACCCACTTATCTCTCAGCTCGCGGAGCTGATACTACAGTCGGTATTCTGCACAGTGCAGCGGTACGGCTGGAGGCGTTAGGCGGGCAGACTGGGGCAGAGCCCACCGGGCGACCGATGAACTCGGACAAGGCGGTGGATGGATAGACGGACGGGCGGGCGGATAGACGGACAGACAGGCAGACGGATAAACGGGCAGAGGGATAGACGGAGAGACGGATGAACGGATGGATGGACGGACGGACGGACGGACGGACGGACGAACGGACGGACGGACGGACGGACGAACGAACGGACGGACGGACGGACGGACGGACGGCATACAACAGCCTCGGGACAGGGCCATAGCCATTCGCGGGAAGGCAAGGCACGGTCCATCCCATTACGAGTTACGACAGCCCCCAACCGCCGTGTGAATTGCATCAAACACTCCATTCTGTCGTGCATACAGTGTACAGAACGATGGCGTTAAATGCCGGCCAAACTAGCCAAACCGGCATCACAGCGACGCCAGGCGAACTGGCTCACACCCCGCGCCGGTCAAGGACGGCCAGATAGACAAAACAGTCTGCCGATGATACGGTCCGTGGCAAAACACAGCGTCAATGATTCACAGCACATCGTTGAACCGTGACGCAGGTGACATGAACAGATGTTATCATATCTAAATGATAACATCATCCACATATCACTGAGTTATCGGCACTTTAGTGGTCCTATTTGAATTAAACAGCTCCTAGATCAGGTATGCAGATAAGAGAAGTATCACGTTGGGAGCGAATCTATCGGTGCTACCTTTTCTGAAGTGGGTCATCAAAACGTTTGTTCGGTTCGGTCATCAAACCGAACAAAGCCAACATACATTCACAAGACGCTCTCTTTCAGAAATTGATTATGAAAACAAAACAAACGAACGCACTAGCGAACAAAGAAATCCTATTCCCGCTGCCACCCGATACTTAGACTAGCTCCGTCCGATTCTCGGCTTTATTACAGGAGTGCCGACCGGCCGACGACCACTGAGGAAATACCAGGCCGCCATCACGAACAGGCAACACGCCGAGGGAGACCGGCTGAGGAAGGCAGGAATGTGATGGCTGGGAGGTTTGGCCGAGCGCCGCCGCTACTGTTCATCGGCCTCCGTCGTTCACCAAAGCCAGTCCTCAGTATGTATGAGGGAATGTGTGGGCATGGGCCCTACACAGCGTGACTTGACTTGATGCAAGACAAAGGCTCATGTTATTCCCTCTAACAGCTGCCTATTATCATTGATCGCGATCAACGAACGGCACAATGCAGCCACCTAGCACAAATACTTGCAATATAGCCTGTGATTCAGCTACACCGAGGTAGTCACCGAGCAGTTGACAGCCAAATGACGAGCACATGTATGTCAACCTTGACATTTAGCAAAAATGGTCTGGATAAGTTAGCGAGAGTAAAATGTGGACCGACATTGTACAAAAACAGTCATGACATGTATCATCTGAATGCTGCTCGTTCACACGCATTTATCTTGCGAACGAGCATGAAAGATGCGTTTACATCGACATGCATAAACGCGACTATGCAGCGTAGAAAAGACCCGTTGCATTCATCCATTCACCCATTGAGTCATCGCCCTATTCAGGCTCCATTACCGTCGGAAAATGTCAGCGAGCGAACCCAGCGCAGTAATTGGACGGTATGACCCAAGTTACAGACTACATTGACAGGGGGAAAGGTACCGGAAAGTTCTCATATTTGCAGCCCGAAACATACCGTGTAACGTGAGTCCAGAGGCAATGAGCCCAGGTAGACACCCTGTCAATGAGGGTGATATTTCTCCACTACTTAACAGCTAAAATGAGCAGCTTGACAACCGACCAAGGCTCGAAACAGCGACCTAAGTAGGCATAGTTAGTGGCAACATTGACGGAATCACAGCTATCAAACAAACACATACTCCGAAATAACAGTTCACAAACACTTCCCACGGGTGTAATAGAGAGCTAACTTCACAGTTGACTATCGGGTTGGACACCACCTTTATCGGTCACCTCTGCCCACCCGAAAGATCAATGTGGGACAAATAAGCCGGAGACGGTCTCGATCGGGAGGGAAACACCCATGTCCGATCAGCGGCGCCTTCCGTGTCCGAGCAGCGGCGCCTTCCGTGTCTGTGAGTGTGTGTCCGGTGTGGTGTCCGCCCCTTTGGAGCCGGACTTGTGCGAGTGAGGGGAGTTTACCCCGCGGAGCAGTGTGACTACGGGTGAAAGATCCTAAATGTTGGGAGTGAGGGATGCCAAAGATCAGCAGAGCAACCAGCCGAGCACAATGGTAGAGATTGAGAGGGAGAATCGATATACCCGGCATTACAGGCGGGGGTCAACCAGGGTACTATGAGCAAAGATTTAGATTGACTACCCTTTTCCACACAGCACACTGTGGGACACACGGCAAACTTGGGAACACATTCCGAATTCAAACACCTGTCACAAAACAGATGCGGAAAATCGAAGACAACGGTACACCATAGAGATAGTCGGAGCCCTTACCCCATCGGATATTCTCACAGGTGCTTGGAAGACAGGTACGTAAAGAGGTTGAGGACAAAATCAACAAGTAAGACACATTTCAAAGCAGTTTGACAATAGACAGTTACAACACATGAGGCTCACTTCCTTCCCTCATCCCCACCAACATAACATAGCCCAGAACCCTGAGCAAGCAGGGTGACTGCGACCAAGGGTGTCAAGGGTGTCTGCAAGGGTGTCTGCAACTTGCAAGGGTGTCTGCGACCTTACCTGCAGTGCATATGGCAAACAGCAGCTGCATCGAGTCGAAGAAGAAGAACATGACGAGCAGCGAGGCGGACGCTCCCAGTGGTAGGCAGAGCGCGTGCATCGTGTCCAACGTGTGCACGTCTGGAAGAAGACAGAGGGCACAGTCAGTGGTGCGTTCATTCATACACTACATGACTCAGAAAAAAGCGGCTTGAATCAAAAGTGGCTTATGTCATTGGCTGGTTTGCGACACTTTTAATCATGACTCGCTGGCTAACAGAACAGTGAAATAAAAAGGCGCCCTAACAACGTAAGCGCGACTTTAGCAAAGACTCATCCTTGAGTGATATCTCTTTGTATTTGATACCCAGAATGCGACAGTTACTGAAAAGCTTAGCCCTGCTCCGACCCAGTACCCATGACTATCTGTGCCATAGACCAAAGCAAGCAGCCATTGCTCTACTCCATACCTTGACTATCTGTATCATGACCAAAGCAAGTAGCCATTGCTCTACTCCATCAAAAGCCCGCCCCGTCCCCACCCCTAGCCACCACCAGCAATGTCACCTTATTACCACACTGCAGTGACCACTGTCTAGCACAGTCACGACATACTTAAAATAGACTCAGTAGCCCCAACCGCCACTGCAATCCATGAGGGGCACGGCTGCCTGCAGTGCAACAACATCAGCCCAAGCAACCCTGGACGCCAATGTAGTGGACCTAGTAGGATGGTGGCTCGCAGCGACCAATGCAGTTGGCTCGGACAGCCAAGGCCACTTCATCACCCAGTTACGGCAGATGTTATTGGTCACGAATGACACCGAGGTCACGAAGATCGTCACGAACACTGCCACGGAGCTTAGAGTCTCCCTCTGTCGAAGGATTCCGTGACAGCAGAGGCGACAAGATACAGCAGTCAGAGAAGGTTCACGCCCATTCCATGGACAATACGAGTGCAGGTGTCTACTGAAAGCCAGCGCGACAAGCTGTAAGCCGGCTGTGATGTAAAAATAAAACGGGAGACCGGTTTTCAGCCACTTTCTAACGACGTGCCTACAGGCTGTAGACAGTATGGCGTTTGAGTTTGTCCATACGCAGGCCGTCATCCTGACACCCGAACCCGGCCTGAATTGTTGCCTCACCATCGCCTGACTATCGCCCGAATATCGCCAGACCATCGCCCGGCCATCGCACGAACATCGCCCGGCCACGGCCTAAGCACCTGACAGGAGCTGAGCCACGGCCGGGCCGGAGCCCACCCTGGCACGGCTCCCTTCCCCGGTCCTTTACACCACGGAGCAAGTCACCCCAACATTCCAGCTATGCACTGAGGCTGCCAGCAATGCATGATCCGCACAATTCACGATCAATGGTTAGGCTTAGCGCAAGGGCTGCCGCCGGCCGCCGGCCCGCTGCCGCCGGCCCGCTCACCGCGGGTGTCGTGGTGGACGGCGGGCCAGACGCGCCAGGGGAGGAGGAGGGGGCTGCGGCTATCAGCCGGCCGCCTCGGACGCTGGGGTTCTACCCCGCCGTGTAGAGCGTCCACAAACCCATGTCAGGACTAACACCAAGTATGACCGGGAACAGCTGCTGGCAGTCCGCAGACTGCTCTGCTGGGACGACGCGACTAGTGACGTCACCGAGAGGATCAGGGTCAGCCTACCCCCTCGTCTGTCTCACCTGATCCGCCGTACCAGAGCTCACGCACACCAATCAATCAGTGTCGTATGTGGGTCCGGCCGGCAGCACCGCGCGACGACCCGCGCACCAGAGGAGCCCAGTCACAGAACCCTCACCCAACCGGCCCGACTCACCATCTCGGAAACCCGCCGGCTCACAAAGACAGCAAACACCGGTCTTTTGATCGGCGTTTTGAACATTCAAAGCCTGAAGCCAAAACTACTAGAACTCACCGAAGAACTAAACCGTCACGATTTCGACGCCTGCCTCCTGGCCGAGACCTGGCTGCGCCCTTCTACTCCAAATCGACTTCTCGTGATTCCCGGCTACTCTCTCAGCCGAGTCGACCGACCAGACGGCAGCGGCTACGGCGGGGTCGCCGTACTGTCAAAAACGGATATGAAAACTGTGACCATCAAACCGAGCACATCCCCGCACCCCGGCAGTCTCCTGGAAACCCGGTGGATGTTGTTCAAGCTCGAACGAAATCGCCAGTTAATTGTTTGCTCTGTGTACCGGCCGCCCCGACAGACCGATGCCGCTCTGCGAGCTGACTTTTCGGACCTCGAGACGCAGTTACAGCGTGTATTAATTGATTTTCCCAAGATTCCATTTATGATCTGTGGCGATTTAAACTGTGATATGTTGAAGGAGGAGAGTTTTCGTGCGCGTGTACACCTCAGTGACTTTTTATCGAATTATTCTCTTGAGCAGCTTGTAACCGTTCCAACGTACACTTCCGGCTCGTTGCTAGACGTCTGTATGGTTAAAAATAGAGAGCTTGTGCGTGATTGCTCTGCATCCTTTTGCCACTTCAGCCCACACAAACTCCTTCGTGTGTCTATTAACGTTCCGAAACAGCGCAAAAATCCTACAGTTGTTCAATCCCGCTCGATCAACCGTATAGATGTCGATGCCCTGAACTCTGACCTGATGTTTGCCGATTGGGAGGGCGTGTTTAGTGCCACGAACGTAAGTGACCAGTGGGATGCTTTCCTGACCGAATTTCTGCCGATTTTTGACGATCACGCACCTATAAAGAATATTACCATCCGTAATCCTACAGCACCACCAGTTACCCCCGCCACACTTAAAATCATGGATCAACGTCGTACCGCGTTACAGCAGTTCGGTAGAAAGTCGGAGGTTTACAAAGACTTAAACCGAACTGTCCGGGCCGCAGTGCGACGAGACCGACGCGGCGAACTTCACAGAGAGATTAGTGGGCGGGGTCCCAACAAGGTGTGGAAAAGTATTAGGTCGGTTGTGGCTGGTAAGAAAGACGGACCTAGTGTTCAACCTGATGTATCGGCTGACGTTTTAAATTCTTTTTTCGTTTCTGTGGGTCCCCGCGTCGCTACAGAGATCCGTGACCAAAATCCAGTTGTTAAGCAAATTGGCCGTTTGCCGCGTGTCGTAACCGGTAGATTTAAGCCCAGACCTATCTCTCTCGGTGAACTCGGTCACACCGTTTTCAATATGCGCAATTCTGCCGCCTGTGCGTCTGATGGCGTCTGCATTCGCATGCTGAAAACTGCTTTCCCATCTATCGGTGACGTTATCCTTCACATCATTAACACTTGCATCTCAAGGTCCGATATCCCCTTTCATTGGAAACACTCTATAGTTCACCCCATCTTCAAGTCTGGAAACCCATCTGATCCCACTAATTTCCGACCTATCTCCTTAGTACCTGTCATTATGAAGGTGGTCGAGCGAGTCATTCACAAACAGCTCTATCGCTATCTCTCCCAAAACCATCTTCTGGCCAATACCCAGCACGGTTTCCGACCCCGGCACTCAACTGAGACAGCACTTCTGTCCGTCAGTGACCAAATCCTGGCCGCCACCGATAGGGGGGATGTCTCTATGCTATGCCTTATTGATTTAAGCAAATGTTTTGATGTCATCAACCATGAGTTATTACTCGCTAAATTGGCAATGCACGGCATAGAGACATCCTGGTTCGCCGCTTATCTCCAGGGTCACACACAGAGTGTGTCATTGAAGGACGAGTCCGGTCGCCGGGTATTATCACAACCTCTCCCCAACTCTATGGGCGTCTTTCAAGGCTCGGCACTCGGTCCCTTACTCTTCACGGTATTTTCCAATGATCTATCACTTTATTCTGAGGATGCAGCAGTCTTCCAGTACGCTGATGATACTCAATTGTTGGTGAGTGGCCCTTTAAACGACCTTAGGGGACTCATCTCGCGCTTGGAAGCGTCACTGGCGTCTCTCGACCATTGGTTCAGTGCAAATGCTCTTAAAGTAAACACTGCTAAAACTCAGCTCATGGTTTTCGGCAGTCGGCAAAATTTGAGAAGCATACCTGCTTTCACCGTTTCTTTTCGCGACACCAAGCTAGTGCCATGCAAGCAGGTGGGCAACCTGGGCGTTATCTTCGACGGCACCCTGTCCTGGGACGCGCATGTGTCCGAGCTCAGTCGCCGATGCACGGGTCTCCTAATTGGCCTCTCCCATGTCCGCCACTACCTCCCCGACGGTGTCACCAAGACACTAGTGGTGGCTCTCGTCATGTCACGGATCCAGTACTGTCTCTCCGTATTTGGTAATGGTAGCCAAAAGAACTTCGATCGCATTCAGAAAATTCTTAACTTTGCCGCTAGAGTCATTTTCGGTCGCCGTAAATTTGATCATGTCTCCCATCTCCGGGACCAACTCGGCTGGATGGCACCTAAAACAATGGCTGAATACCATACCCTTATCACGGCGCACAAGGCCATCCAGAGAGGTGAACCCGAGGAGATCGCGACCCTATTTTCCAAAAATTCCCAAACACGAGCAAGGTCTACTCGCCAAGACCACCTTTTCCACTTACCGCGACCCCGACTAGAGACCGGAAAACGTAGATTCGCCTACCGTGCCGCGGCGCTCCTAAATACTCTCCCCCTCGAGCTAACGCAGTTGCCTCCAGCCAGATTTGCCCGTGCTGTAAAAAAGGGGCTTAAGCCTAGCCAGAGTAGCCATAGTAGCTAGCCTCATGACTCTTGGACTATGAAAGGCAAACGAGTCTGTGTGTACATAGTTATGAACGCGGCTTCGTGCTGGTTACACCAAGTATGTGCGTGTTCGGCGTTCGCGTTGTGTATTTCGTATCCGTAAGTGTGTGCGTTTTCTTGTGTAGGTACCTATTTCTTGTGTTATCTTCAACCAGCTCGGACTCGGAGTGTAATCGCCACGCCGATTGTGGATTGCTCTTGATTGTCAATACATAAGGGCGGTGGCATGTAATCGATCCTAATTCCTAATAGTGAACAGCGAGCGTCGGCTGCATTCATCAAACGGTACAACGCATGAGTGAACAAATGGACTGATAAATGGATGCAGTGACTAGCATCCATTTGTCCATTAAAAGTGATCAGCATGGTTGCAGCTGATCCGGGGGACACTTTCCTTTGAACAGAGGGCTAAATGAAGTTTGAAAAACGAGCACA